CACAGGAGTTGTGAGGCTAAGTACCTGCATACAACCATTGGGAAATGTAAGGATAAATCTTTTCACTGGACAGCTGAGCAGTTCAGTGAAGAAAAGTAAAGTCATAAGAACATAAGAATAGTCATACTGGGTCAGACCAATGGTCCATCTAGCCCAGTATCCTGTCTTCCGACAGTGGCCAGTGCCAGGTGCCCCAGAGGGAATGAACAGAACAGGTAATCATCAAGTGATCCAAGCCCTATCACCCATTCCCAGCTTCTGGCAAAAGAAGATGCTGTTGCTTTCAAGTACCCAAGTGTAAAACAGGTTTTAGAAGTCATGAACGTTAGGAAATATACTCCTCTCTCACCTCATAGGCCTGGAAAGTAGTTCTTCCCACCTGGAAAATGTTCTTAGGAGTTTCTCCAGCATGAGCTGTCTTCTCTTCTCTCTTTTTATGTTTCCCCCATGTCTATTTTTCTTTGTGCCCTCAGATCTTTATGTCCCTTCCCATCTTACATACTTTAAAAGTTCTTTTCCTTTTCTATTGTTAGCCAAAAAGAGCAAGGATTCCTCACTATGGCATGACTATGCTACGGATCCTATAGCTGTACATCTATGGCAGCATAGCCCCTAGTGTGGATGCAGCCTACACAGACAGGCGGAGTTCTTCTGTTGGTGTAGGAACAGCATCTGCCCTAAAGGACATTAGCTATGTCCACAGAAGCCCTCTTCCACCACCACAGCTGTGGACGTGCTGGGAATTTAGTCAGTATAGCTCGGTCGGTCAGGGTTGTGGTTTTTTAAGTTTATACCTAGCCTAAGATGAGATGCTACTTGTAGCCATATTAGTTCTGTAAAGAATGGAGGCGAAAGTAAGTTGGCAGATAACCTGGATTTTCCCTTGACTTGTAGTGGGGTAGGGAGCTCTGGTACACTATTAGCCTCCAGCCATGTTGTAGCATAGAAGTAAATACTATGACTATTCTATAAAGTTCTCTAGGGTTGCATCTGACACCCTCAGATACAGTATCATTCACTTTGCTCCCTAGCACCACATAACTCATTCAGTAAAAGGCTGTTTATAGAAAAGGAATCCTGAGCAAATGTAATCGGACTGCAATGGGCTTGAAGTCCACGAGCAACTCTGCTCTAGCTCATGCATATGATAGAGGTAGGCAAAAAATCTTCACGTCGCGATTGGTTTCCATACATTAAATGTTACAAAAACAAATTTGATAGTTTTGTAATATAAACGTTGAGTCCATTGCGTGGTTCACGCAGCTGATCTAAGTCATTGCTTGATGCACTCAGTTGATCTAAGTATAGTCAGCTGTTGTCTTATGTTACCTGATTTTTTCCCCTGCAAAGACAGCACATCTAGGAGAATTAGCCTGACCCTTGGAACCAGTCACTTACCCAGGGCAGAGAGTGTCGTATTTATGCCAGAGCCCTGTATAGAAGGGACTCCTCTCGGAAGAGCATCAAAGGGAATGTGCCTCAAGCAGGTACAGTTTCTCTTGATGCTTTGTGCTTCCTGCTACCCCCATCAGGTGCACAATCTGCTCTACCCATTACGACTCCACCCACTTTTCAGTTTACGTCTCAGGGGGCAAACAGAAGCAAGCAAGCTCTCCATGCCGGAGACTGCAATTACAGGAGACATTTGTGAAGCTACAACTTTTTTTGTACCTTCTTTACGCACAAGGGTCACTCACATGTGGGCCCTGAACGTGCTCTTCAATGTGACTGTAAAAATGGCATAATGGAATTCCGTGTTGTGCATCAGTGACCTCCAGACAAGATTGTCTTTTTTTACAAGTAAAACTACAGTGGTTTTTTGTTGTTGTTAACTACAGCCCACCCTGAAGACTCAGCCTGGGATTGGGGCAGCTGGAATGGCCCAGGAGAACAGATGGTACAACTTGCCATGCAGACCCTTGTGATGATGTGTAAAAAGGGAAGAACCCAGCTTGATTCTCAGATCCCATGTTGAGTTTGCAGAGCTAAGTTAAAATTTTTTTTTTGTAATTGTACACTGAGCAAATCGGATATAGAATCAGTGAGCCACAAACATGCAACCCCACAATGCCATTTTTGGAGCCATGTTTAAAAGCAGAGCTCTCCTGTAAGCTCTGTATGGGGATAATTAGTTGCTCACCTCTCAGGGGTTAGTTATTGCTCGAACAGCACTTTGAAGATGTAAAGTGCTATATACAGTCCTAAGCATTATTATTTTTAGCACCAACTCAGGAAAGCACATGCTTAAGTGCATTCCAGAACAGGGATAGACTTAAGCATTTGTGTAAGTGCTTCTCTAAATCAGGGCCTTTGCAACTGATCAGGACAATGTCTGTGAGTTTGGACAGACAGAGGGATGGATTTTAAATGGCAGGCTATAACTTTATTAGAATTTAACATGGGAGAGAGGCACTGTCTGCCCCATCTCCCCATGCTACACATTTAGGGGAATCTAGTGCATGATAACAAGGCACCTGCCACAGAGCCATAACTCAGGGCATCAACCATGGACTCTTCACTGCCTACTCCAAGGATTCAGCTTGTTCTGCTGAATCCTCTCAATGTCCCCCTGCAAAGGGGGCAGAAGGTACTAGGAAAGGATCCCTGTCCGCAAGGACTTCAGTCTTCCTTTTTCCATAGATCTGGCATCCACCAACAAAATCCCATGTTTCTTACTGCCTGGTCACTGGCTATTTGGCTTTTTAATCTGCACTGGACACAAGTTGTGATGAACTAACGTTCACATGATTCCGCACATTCAACTCTGACACCATTTCACCTCGCGGTGTCTCCATGAGGGTTTGAGGAAGGCAAAAAAACCCACTAGGCCACAGCCCGATTGGCCCCTGAGAAAAAAATCCTTCCTAACCTCTTACACAGGTGATCAGCACTGCACCCTGTACCATATAACCCTGAGGACGGAGGCTGGGTTCAACATAAAATGGGACAAGAAGCTGATAACACCCAGGCCAGGATTTAAAGAAATGATTGTGGGAAGCAAGAAACAATCAGCTCACATCTCTCTAGCTGGCCAATGGTCAGCGGAGCACCCAGAGGGAGGCGGAGCTTATCCCACTGTGCACTCCCCCTTTATCCTAAAGCTGTCCAGCTTGTGGATCCAATCAAGTTTCTCAGTGGTTATGTTGGAGGTGGCAGTGTCAGAGTATATGACTTTTACAGTCCACTCTACATTTTAAATAGTACTGATCCAACATCCAGCTTGTTCACTGTATTTGTAATATTGAAAGCACTATGCCGGGACACACAGCTCAAGAGCAAACTCTCAATCTGTTTCACATCTAGGCAGCACTGAATGTACTTTTACTTTAGACTAGGAGGGAAAAATCACTGTGGTAAGATATGACTGGTAATACAAAATGCTTACGTTGCAAAGACTGTTTTTATTAACACTTATTATTGGTGCAATGAATCAATGTTTGCTACTTGATTGAAAATTGCCTGGCAATGCAATTTTGACCAGTTTGAAAAGGTATGCAGAGCGGCTCCTTCTGTCATTTAAAACTAGCATCAGGGCTTTCTCTTTTCTTTTAAAAAGGGAGACAAGTTGTAGTGCTGTTAAATACGAGGACCCAGAACACACACACATGAATTTATCCTTGTGAACGAGAAGGTTTTAAGGTCAGATTTTGTGTATTACACTTCTAATCAAATAACTGTAGCTACATATGAGACTATGAGGGAGAACAGATGGTGGTTACGAGCCTGATCCCACAAACAGTTATACCTGCAAGTATAGTTTTACTTGCCTGAAGTCTTGGTGTCTTCAGTGGGTCTCCGTAGATGTAGCTACGATCGTGGGTATAAACTATTTGCAAGATCAGGTCCCAAAATGGTAAGCCTTGGAATAGATATTTTCAATACAAGAGACATTCCTAAACATATTTAGTCGTTCCAGCTGACAGATATGCAGACAGATTGCTTGCTCTGCCCAGTGAAATGATGCAGAGCTTCCACAGACTGCTCTTTGCAGCTGTTTGTAGCATTAGACAGTGGGTAACATTTTCAAAAACACCTCAGAGTCTTAGGCGCCTAAGTCCCATTGGTGCTTTTGGAATCTTGCCCCAGTGTGACCGAATACAACACAGTGTTGAAATTATTACACTGATCAATACTATCTGAAGTGGGCGAAAACCATTTTTAAACAGGGAATGTTACTAACTGAATCAATACTATTCCAGAAGCACTGGTCTTCCCTCTAGCCTTCTGTAAAATTGAGCCAATATTCATACAGGATCCATTACCCAGCCAAACGTCCATTATCTGAAATAGCCTGGGACCAATCTGGCTACAACACTGCGAACTTTATCTGAAAAGGCCCTTTTGCTTCTCCCTATCCTTGACTCTTCACCTCATTTTAGAGCTCAGCTGAAAACGCCTGATTCTCCCTTGAATATGACAGGTTGCAGAGTAGCAGCCGTGTTAGTCTGTATTCACAAACAGAAAAGGAGGACTTGTGGCACCTTAGAGACTAACCAATTTATTTGAGCATAAGCATAAGCTTTCGTGAGCTACAGCTCACTTCATTGGATGCCTCTTGAATATGCCTCTGAGGGAATAGCAGAAGGGGAAGAGGAATTATTCTTTAACTATATTATCAGGTTGTTGAGTTCTGCAATATGTTTGAGATACACTTTATATGCATGGTGCTGTACAGAAAGCAACGGCTAAATCCTGCAATCCTTTCCCATGCAAAATTCCCATTGATATCAGTAGGCAAGAAAGAACCCATAGCACTGACTTCCGAAGTTCTATTGCATTGTATTCACATTGCAGCTTGTTCTCTTTGCCAAAACTGAAATATACCGTCTCTTTCTAGTAAACAAAACAAAAGCATTTACTACAGAAGCAAATGTCAAAATCTAGAGATTTAAAAAAAAAAGGAAAACAAAGTAGGTTTTTAAGCATCATCATTAACATCACAATCCACTGGTAAATAAATGTGACTTTAAAGCCAAAGAACTGAAGGGTTATTTGGAAAATTGTTTTGGTTGACTTTATGACAGAATGAATTTTATTTAATGTACAGCATTGAATGCATACACCAATACCAGTGCCGTAACAACAAAAACGGAATTTGTAAAGTTAGCAGCAGTTTCTGCAAGTACAAAAATACACATTTATTTCAGACCATATATAATAGCAAAATTTATCAAGATATATTATACAAACTCAAAGCATTTTAGATAATGCATTACTTTTAATATATTATAAGATGATTTAGATGGCGCATAATAAAATTACATGTGTTCTGCTTGCAATGATACATGCCATTTTACAGCAATATCAATAAACTATTCACAACTTAAACATAAAAAGAACACCCAATGGAGCACAATAAACGACACACACAGAGTTGGGAGTTGTTAGTTACAAGCTTCAGCATTTAATGTCATTTCTTTTTCAAGCTTACATTGTTTTTCTTCTTTTGCTGCAAGATGGAGAGGACTGGAACTACTGAACAGTTACCTTGTTAACAGACAAAGCACGACACTTCTTCCTTGAAGGGCAATGAAAGTAAAAACCATCATAGTTTCAAACCAGTAATAGAATACCACAGTTATGGAATCTATGCTGACCATGTATACTGCATCAAAACCACAAAGGACACCGACTTACATCTACAAGGCTTAACAGGAGTGGTCAAGAGGAGGACTCTATATCAAACACACTACTGCACTCGCTAGTGTCTTGGATCGGAGTGCTTCTCCTAACAATTTCCTGGGACCTTCCCAGATTCTAGGAAGATAGTTAATCACAATATTAGTATGTGGGGAAGTTAATTTGATAATTCCCATAATGACAGGATGAGTTCTGTAGCCCCCCACACTGAAAATTTGTCTCTTGGGATATCAAACCCTAAGCAGATCCGACACTAGTCCCAAAGGTGGTGATTTTAAACGTAAGATTCCTCGGCAAAAAACCTTTGGTCAAGCTCTTCAAACTGGGGATCACTGCAGTGCTTGTTTGGCCGTTCCTTTTTATTTTGGACCATGGTCTTGGTCCCTTCCTCTGATTTCTGAAGACATTTATTAACATCAGGTTTAAACAAACAGTCATCAACTGCCTTTGTGGTTTTTGGAGACCGAGAGAAGCCCCTTTTGGACTCATCAATATTTTTTGATTCAGTACTTGGCAAAGATTTGTTGTTCCTGGAGTTTGTCACTTGCTGGCCTCCTAAGTCTGTGGAAATCAGAGTCTTACTTAAGCTGTCCTTGATGAAAAGTTCACGTCCAGCACTGACAACATCCTCTGGCTCAGGAGCATGCTCAGCCCTTGGATTTGTGCACTGAGTGAAAGTGTTGGACAGCTGTCTTTTATGTGACTGAACAAATAGAGAGTTTGCCTCTTCCTCTTCCTCCTCCTTGCTTTGCTCAGCCAAAAGCCCCAACGCCTTTAGTCTCTTGTCTTTGGCTTCCCCTGAACAAAGTGGAGAGCTGCATAGCTGCCCACCCCCCCGGGAAGAAGAAAAGTTGCCCTCCTGCACTGTTTCCGCAACATTAATTCCTCCTGTTGACATAAGTGTTTTTAAAACTTGCCGTTGTTCTTGACATAAGTTATCTTCTGATGCATCCGAAGAATCCGTTTGTGGTTCCAAAGTTATTTTAACAACACTCTTCTTTTTCTCCTCTTGCTTGGACACTCTTTCCTTTTTTCGGAGAGTCCAATTTTTCATTGTGGAAGCTCCGTTCTTTAGCCATGTGCTGGGATGAAGAGTTACAGGGCTTTTTTGACTCTCTTTTCTAACACAAACGGAGCTGCTGCTGCTGGCTTGGTTAGGAAAAGAACTGAGGCCAGCACCCAGGTGTACTCCAGAGAAAGGGTTAAATTCAGGAGAAAGCTCTCCATGTTTCTTTTGAGGCTGAAAAGCACAATCCAAAGGAGAGGAGGTCTCAGTTGGAGTAAATACTGAATTGTCTGAAAACTGAGAGAAAGCACTGTCCAAGGAACTCATTGAGGACCCAGATGGGGACGTTCCGGGAGAAGATAAACTAGAACAGCTAGTTCTTGAGCAAATATTTAATCTCAGCAGGGGTGGGGGCAGGAGGCAATTGGACAAGTCTTTCTTTTCACCATTTTGGCCCACGGTGCCACTCTGACCTACATCGATACCCATAACTAAACTCTGATTAATAAGCTTTTGCCCTTCCACCTGTAATGAACGAAGCTGCTTGAGACAGTCTTCATCTACGTGCGACAGCACTGCATCACAGCTGGCTTTACGTACAGCATTCTCATGAACCTCACTGCGGTGGCTGAACTTAGAGGCAAGAAGGCCAATCGTGGGCTCTGAGCAGCGTCTCTGTCTTCTCAAGCTTTTGCGAGCATCCGGGACCATTACTGATGAGCAGCCAGAGGTACTGGAGCAAAGAGACTCATTCTCAGAGTGATCCTGTAACGCAGATTCATGGTGTGATCCAGTAGAAATTCGCACTGGTTTTGATTTGGGTGGCAGTTGAATTTTAATTTCTTCCACCTCAGGCTGGTCCAAGTCACAATCACTCAGAGTCAAAACTGAGTCCCGGCTCCTGTTATCTTGACCTCGTTTTTTGATCAAGTCACTAAATGAAGAGTCAACATCATCATTCAGCTCATTTTCCAAACTGTCATAAGAAGAATCATTCAGATGAAAGGAAGAGAAATCTGCAAGAGGATGAAAGCAGCATTAGCATGTCCATGATCAAACGACAGAGTTTACTTTTGAAACAAAATGTTTCTTTCCCTTAGGTAATTGTTTGTCCTTGGAAAGTCCCTAAAACTGACACATGGCCAAATGGGAGAAGTTTAGAATTCTTCCAAAATGATCATTTTAAGATGGAATAGAAATTAATTTTATTATTCCCCAGTGCAGCATTGGGACTTAAATACATGCTTAAGTGCCGTGCTGAATAGGGATGGATTTATGGATACTCCCTAGTAATCAACCTATGGATAATACATTAATTACAGACTATTAAATCAGTAATGTTATGAACATTCAATTCAATTGCTCTGATATGTGAAGAAACCAAGGTGTAATTTTATTGTGCTCCAGAATGTAGACAGTTTATATCCAATATATTATGAGAAATTCTAGTTTCAGTTACGGCATAGCAACTAGACTCAAGCCCATAGATTTTAAGTGGTGTAACCAAGGGAGAATTTAGCCACATTGCACTAGAGAGACTACATGAGAAGTTTGGGACAACCATATTACTCAGGAGTGGCAAAGTTAGTTATGTACATCATGCCAAACGGAGTGAAAAGAGCGACTGAGATAGTATAAGGTGCATGATAAAAATCACATAACTATCACCATCACTGACGAAGGGAGAGTGCATGTTTGTGTACACATTTGTGTACATCTGAATATTTTGGATGGACACGTTATATGAATGGAAAATAACAGCCTTCCTAAGAATGTACGGAATCTTCTGACTGGCTGGGTTTAGCTAATATGAATGAAACATATGTTACCTGAGCCATCCTCTCTGTTGTCACATCGTATCAGTATGTCCCCAAAGAGGGTGGAAATTTCCTCTCCAAAAATCCTGCAGCAGTTTTCAATTAGAAACTGTACCAGAATAGAAACCTGCAACAAAGCAATGGCAATGAGATTTCTATACAGATCTTGAACTATTGAGCTGAGAGGAGTATAGATTGGTAACAAAACCAATCCTATGTGCTTTTCCTTTGAATGAAAAGGTTGCTCCCAATATCATGTTACAGGCTCTCTGCCAATACTGTATATGGTGCTCCAGCCTTGGATTTACCCAGCACGTACTAAATTTTGCAGGTAGTGATTTGTTCCAAAGCAGGTCTAGATGGGTTTCTCCTCTGGACATGTTTCAGAGTTTCTCAGGCCAGACGGACCACTGTGATCATCTAGTCTGACCTCCTGTGTAACACAGGCCATAGAACTTCCCCCAAATACTCCCTGTCTGAGCTAAACACACCTTTTAGAAAAACATCCAACTGTGATGTAAAAAGTGCCAGTGATGTAGAATCTACCAGCCCTTTGTAAGTTGTTCCAATGGTTGATTACCCTCACTGTTAAAAATGTCCACTTTATTTCCAGTCTGAATTTGTCTCCCTTCAACTTCCAGCCATTGGTCTCAACACAACTGTTAGGAGACTGATAAAGGAACAGCCAAATCTATAAAATCATTCAAGACTCCCTGGAACATCTGAATGGCCCTATGTAGGTACCTCTCATTATGAAACCAATCCTTGCTCTCCCTGTGCTCATATTAACACTAAGAGTAATAAAGGGCTCTGCGCTATAAGAGACATAAGATGCGCACTCTAGCACTACCCCCGGTGTTTTCCCCTCTCACTACCATTGTAGCCTCCCTCACCATAGTTCCTGCCCTCCCTCTGCACAGACTGAGCCTCTGATAACTCTAGCCCCCTTCACTAAGCACCAGATCACTTCCCACACCATCCCTGCAGGCCTCATGCTCCCTGTCTACCTCCTCTCACCTGCTGGCTCTGGCATGCAGTCATTTCTGCACCAGTTCTTCACACCCATAGCATAGCCTTCCAAGGTCAGCAGCTTCTCCCAGGCTGGAGCACAGACCAAAGGAAGGGTAGGAAACTGGCAGATGATGGTAGGTGATCACATTGGGAGGACAGGGCATGTGTGGAGGGGAATGGAGTGGTACTTGCTCCATCCACGCATCCTGACCTGCCCTTACCTCCCAGTAGCCAGGAACTCCCCCACCTTTATGGCACAGTAACCCCTAGCAGATCACCACACCCAAGCCCCACGAAAATAGCCAGTCACCCAGCGACACACACTTCTAGAACTAGGTTAGTTTCCTAAGGATAAACGGGCTTCCAGCAGATGCAATTTCTTTTACCTTTAGGCAACTGCCTCCAATTTTGCCATAATAGGGCCTCTGCATCTACACCCTTCTTCCCCCAAAGCTGGAAATGAACCTACAATGGATGGATTTTCAAACTAGTATTTAAAAGTTTCTGCTTTTGCACTTTCTCATTCGGCTCATCCGTATTGTTGCCTTTATGAACAGATTCCAAATGGTGCCAGATCCCACCGTCTTCAGCAACACCATCTTGCCAAGGAGGTAATTGGATAGATTGATTGTGCTTGGATCCCGCTTGGCTCCTTCCCTACTGCCATTTACAATCTTCTCCTTGGGGCCAATGCTCCCCGAAGCCCCAAGCCAACTGACTGACTGCTGGCTCCTTCCTCTGCATCTTTTCCACCCCGACCTCCTTACAGGTTTATTTGGTCCTGCTTCAGCACAGAGGGCTGGACACGATAATTTTTCAAGGTCACTTTTCACCCTCCATTCCTACGATTATACAGAGAAAACTGTTCTAAGACCAGCTTAATTAAACAGCACCTCTAGGAGGACGTGATCGTTACAAATGCACTGGATATTTATAATCTCACTCCCCCTGTTTCAGGGACAGAGTGGGGATGAATTAATGTTTGCAGAAGGCTCTGAAGAGGACAAGCACTGATCTGTATTGGTGCTAATCACCACCACCTTTCTGAACATAGAGATTCCTTAGCAAAACTGTGGTTTCACTCACCTTTTTGGTGAATTCGCTTTCTGTTTCAGGGCTAAAGGGAGCAGGAGGCCACAGCATGCTGGGTGCGATGCACACAGCTAGATTAAATGCAGTCATCTGGTTATCTTCAGATTGCTTTTCTATACTGTGCAGTACTCCAAAGAGGTAACGTAAAAGAACCACATTGGCTCTGGGGAGTTGCTGTATTAGCCTGGAAAAAACACCCGTAAAAAGCAATTTAAGAAAACACTCCCCCCACACTCACTAGAGTTAGCATCTGATGAAACCACAGAAATCGCAGGGAGCGAATGTGGACTCGCGATTAGGGCGGGAAATGGTTACTAGTTCAAAAGCTTCTCAGAAAAGACCCAACAGGTACCACAATGAGCTCTCATTACTCAACCTTCAGTGCGTTCCTCTGATATGGTGTAATTCAGAATAGCGGCTGATACACTGTGAACTAGTCTAAGAAATAATTAACACTGCACTGTCACATCAACGGACATGTACAATTTGTGACCGTTATTTGTTTTTTTTGTTCAATTAGTTGTCAACTCACTGGTTTACTCCGTGGCAAAATTCAATCATTTGCTTTGGATACCCAGTTGTTAACGTAAATTGGCAGGGCTCCATTTAATAGGTTGCCTAGTCCACCCTCCTGCCTGCATGCCGCATGCTCGTCCCTGGGACAAATGGGACTAGTGCTTTGCCCAGTCTAATTTTAACGTCCTCGGCAACGGGGCCTCCGCCATTGCCAGACTCCAATATTTCACTAGGACACAATCTTGGCTTCAGAACAGCCACTGAAGTTTGAAACGGATGCAAAAAGAATAAAATAAAATAAAGAGGAGCGGAACTGAATTGTTGCTGCGCCCCTTTTGCCAAAGCTCCTGCACCACCCAAATCAAACTCAGCCCATTTTGGCAGCAGGCAGAAGTCCTGATCTTCAAGAGCATATTTATAAACACGCTCCTCCTGTGGTCTTGGTGAAAGGAAATGACTGAAATCCGCTTACCGGCATGTACTCCCACAGCAGGCACACAGGTACTGAGGACAGGATTTAGGAAAGCACCCCTATACAGGAAAGCACTTCAGCTTGTGCTTAACCTGTCGCACGGACTTAAGTCCCATTTAGATCAATGGGACTTGAGCACGTGCTTATGTGCTCTCCTGAACTGGGGGTAACTAAAGCACATATTTAAATGCTTTTCTTAACTGGGGCCTGTCAAAAATCCCATTTGCAGGGTTCTGCTTCTGTGGACTCTGCAGAGAGACAGTATAAATAACTCTACCTTTGGACGCCATTTATCTTCTCTTCATGGTTCCCTTGGTCCATCACAGAGACCCACTTATCACAGAGCTGGGATGAAAAAATACTGCCTGGGATGTTCCGAAGAAAATCCTGATTCCAAGAGAGGAACAACAAAACCGCGTGAGCCCGCCAGGCGGGGGAGGGGAAAAGGAAAGCGGCGCAGGGCGGAGAGAACGCGTGGCGCTGCTGGGACAGCACGGGCCGGGGTGCACGGAGCCACTGAGCCAAGCGGTAAATCTCTTCACATTAAGAAAAATTTGAATTATGTTGAGGATGAATATTTTCATACCCTCTTCTCCTGAACCGTTTCTGTCCACCGGGATGCGTTTCTGATACTTAATCTGTTTTCACTGCACCAGAGAATTAGCTCAGGGGCCAGTTATTTGGATACTGGGAGACGCCTGCAGTTTGCTCATCACCTGATTATCTTCAATCCCTATTTATCCCAGCAAAATGTTCCCAGTGCTTGTCGCAGATCTGGCTAAGCAAGGAGCACACCCTTGCTGCACTCCAAGAATGAAGAGAAGACTACAAAAGCACAGCTGCTTTCCTATACGTGTCACAGCAAGACCTGGTCTATGCTTAAACGATTTACTGGTAAAACGACACTGGTTTGGGGGTGGTAATTTTTAACCAAAGTAGTTATACCGGTAAAAGTCCTAGTGTGGATGTATTTATACCAGTATAAGGGCAACTTATACTGGTAGTTATTCCCCGTCCTGTATGGGAGTAGCTACACTCGTATAAAGCACCTTTATACTGATATAGCTGTAGTCACGAGTTGGCGGTGCCACCTTAACTGTACCAGTATAGTTAAAGTGGTACAAATGTCTAGTGTAGACAAGTGATACGTTTTACAATAATTTTCCTATAGGGCCTGATCCTGAGCCATTGAAATCATTGGTAAAAATTCCATTGGCTGAATTGGGCCCATATTACCATGTGCTTATGCACTAATTATTTTGTGTTCAGTTTGTGACTGTCACAGTACTGCTGAAGAACAGATTGATTTTGATTATAAAAATTAAAGTTAGTTAGTTCTGCCTGCACATTCTCTTCAAAGTAAGACTTGTACTTCCCTGAACTACAGACACCAAGCTCAATCCTGGTCTCCAATGTTCCTATAAATAATGAACCAGAGTAGCTGCATATTGCATGGCTCCCTCATTCAAGTGGCAGGAAATATTCTTCACTGATGTTTGACCCACACCTGAGGGAAACTCTTTAGACACAAGGTCTGAGATGGACACTCCCAAAGAACATTAAAGCAAAGTGAATCAGGGGATAAGTCCCCCCGGAGCATGGTACATTAATTCAGTTCTCTGTCAAGTTTTCAAGTGGCAGGAAAATTCGCTCTCCTCGCAGCTTAAATGTACAACTAGCACTTACTCAGCCGATCTCTCTGACTTTGCCACATGAACTTTTGAACCACGTCTACGATGCATATTACACAAACAGGCTTTTTTTTGACATCAGACATGTACACCCCCTATCCCCACAACTATTTTTGGGACGACTGCAGTGAAAATTATGATTTCCACTTAAAATTTGTGGTAACAAACAGGGTCCTGATCCATCAAAGCACTTCAGCAGTTGCTTAACTTGAGGCACATGAATAGTCCCATTGGAGCCAACAGGATAACTCAGATGCTTAAAGTTAAGCGCATGTTGAAGTGATTTGCTTGGTGAGGGCCACGCTGCTCAGCACTTGGCAGGATTGAGCACTAGATGTGCAAAATATTTGCAATGAAATGAAAAAAGTACTACAATGCTTTTTCTCCCCCCTTTTGCTACAAACAAACAAAATACGTGGGCTCATTTCACCCCCAAAATTTTGCCCCGTTTCATATGTTTGTTTTAAACCTTAAACAGGCCACTTTCCCACAAACAAAACAAACCCTATTGTGATGTGAAAAATGGGCAAAGTGAGGTGAAACGTATGCCAGGGCAGAGGATCAGTACCATTTTGACTCCATTTAGGCAGTATTTTGAGGGTCTAAAGTGGCATGCAAAGGTGCAAGCATGAGTCAGATTCATTCAATGTCTTTGATATTGAGAACACAAATTTCAAACGTTCTAGCTGAAGAAAAAGAAACTCATGTCAAATTGTGCAGAAAAACAAAATCTGAGGAGTGTCAAACAATTTACAAGGGTGAAACCAAAACACTTTTGTGAAAAATTTTGGGGAAGATATTTCACCATCTTTACACGCACAGATATTATTCCACATGCAGGTCTTATTTTCTTCTCCTCTGTGCACTCCAAAACCAGCAGAAGCTGTTTCCCACAACCACCATTTGATTTCTTTAAAAAGAGGAGGTGTGCTTTTCCTTACGTCTACATGTTATCCAGAGAGCGTCTCTCTTTTCCAGTGAACATTACCAGCAACAGCACAGCATGAGGAGGAATCTGATTCCATGCAAACCCCAAGGCAAGGATCTAACTTCATTGCTTGAATTGTTCAAGATCTCTTGAGCTAATGGAGAATTTCCATTTACTGCCGGTAGTAACAGCAGCACATTTTAAGGCCTCCAACCACTAGAGGGCGGACCATTGCAACAAGATGAGAGGCAACAACTCATGGGCATCAGAAATGACGGCAAGAGGAATAGCATTCTCTGTTAAAAAAAGTCCTACTAGAGATACTACTTGAACATATAGCAATGGAGATTACAAGCTCCCATTGTACGTAAACATGTGAAGGGTCATAAAAAAACAGGGCAAATATGCCAGTCCATATTTGAGATTTATATACAAATACACAATCAGACTAAACTCTCCCAAACAGGCTAGTTGTGAGTTATGGATGTTCTCTGCATGAAACAATACCATTAGTAACATACTAGTCCTTATGCAAAGATAATCCACAGAGAAATGAACCTGAATATTTTGGGAAGCACAATACCCTCAAGAGTCTTGTAGGTTTATAGCATCTTTACAGAATAAGAACCCAACCCTGCAAAGAACTCCCACTGCCTTTAAGGAGAGCTAGAAGACTTGGAGGATCAGGTTCTAAATGAGATCGGAGGCAAGTTTTTTTTTGTTTTTTTTTAAATAAACTCCTATTGCAGAAAACAAATTGACTAGTTGTCATATCCCTCCTCCTACCCCCCGCACTCAGGGAGAGAGGAGTAAAGCTCTTTGCATACCTTAAACACGGAGGCTGTCACAAATATGGATTCACAAGCTAGGTGCACTTCAGCTCCCAAATTAAGCTTCTCCTTAAGTTCTCGGCAGGATTTTGCATTTGCTGAGCGTCTGAAAATACCCCTGGTAAAAGGCCCCTCTTTGTAAAGGAAGAAAAGCATGTCCTGTGCAAAATCAAAAAGCCAGATAGCCTTCCTTACATACAGATTCTTTATCTGTTAACTATTAAGATGTGGTTTTATCCTTTTCCACTTGTGCAAGCATGTCCTACAAAGATTCACAAGTCAAAAACACATCAGGGTATATTCTCTACTCCAGGGGCTTTGCCACCCAACCCTCATTAAAGCTATGGTTTGGGGCACTGAGTTCTTCAAACAAGCTGTGCGAATATCCTCACCCAATATAATATTACTACTCAACACTGATCTAGCACATTACCTCTTCAAAGCACTGTGCAAACATTAGCCAGTTTATACTGCTGTACAGGAAAAGAGCAACAGTCTATCTAGTGTAGTATCCTGTCTGACAATGGCTACAGCCAGATGCTTCACAGGGAGATGTCAAACGTCCATTCACCTGTTTGTTGCAGCAATGCTGCAAACTATGTGCTAAGGTTTCTGACTCAGCTGATGATCAATTTGTAGCCTGAACAGCCTAACATAATTTTATCAGAGCTAGTAGGCTTCTCATTTCATATTAATCTGCACTTCTAAATCCTAATTAAGAGTCAGCCCTCACTCTGCCACCCTTACTCTGTGTGACCTGTACTTTAATCCATGGAGTGTTTTGTTTAGGAATTTTTTAAAATAGTGATATGTATATATATATATATATATATATATATATATACACACACACACACACACGTTTGTCTGAAGACCAAACTATTCAAAACAAGGAAAATAAGTAGGTCACAAAGCAGCCAAGTACTGTTTGTTTTAAGGAAGGATCTCTGAGCCAACAGCAGGGGAATGGTGGCTGGTGGAGAACATATTATCATTAAATTGAGTTATAATAACTGTAATGGCTGAGAAGTAGGTTTTGGCTAATTTCGCAGTCTGGGCTGCTGAGGAGGTCTTCCTGAAGTGCAGCAATGCAAATATGCCAAATGGAAACTATTTTTACAGTCTACTGCTTTAACATTCCTCCTCTTTTGTAAGTTGGGAGCCAACTGTCCATCTACGTGCAAATACCTTTAGAGGCGCACCATTCACGCCAGCAATACTCACAGCAGTATTTCTCTTTTCTTTGCAAAGATTTAGAGCTCATTTGTTAAAAGAGAGCTCAATCCTGCAAGGCAAGTTCTCAACTTGAGAACAAAGGTTTGGTCAGACAAAACTGGTCAATGTTTTAGGGTGACGAGTTAATGGTTTGACTTGCTTTCTGTAGGGTAAAAACTAAAACAACCCTTTGAATTTAGAATGCAGGTTATAATGCTTTAATGCAGAGACTCTCAACCTGCGTGGGGCTTTAACACCCTCAGATTTGCCTTCTCCATACAGCATCCCAGATGCCATGTTTCATTCTCCAAGGATGCTACGTGAATGTTACTTTTTGGGATTTAAACAAGTTTTTCAGACTCAAACTACTAATTGTACTAAGTAGTGTCCGTGCACCTAGTAACTTTACTTTTCCCAAACAACAGTTCCAAAAGGATTCAAGTTTGAGAGAGATTCTCAGAACACATCAGTGGCTGCACTGGGCTTGAAGGACCCAATAGTTCTAGAATAGATTCCTAAGATAAACTGCAGCTCATCTCTGGAGGGTTAAATTGGATACCCTAAAATTATCAAAATTCGTAAAGACTGCAGTTAGAAAACAAAAAATGCTCTGGAATGTACTGAAGAGTCCTGGTATGAACATCCCTGGGTGATGTGGGGAGAACATACCAAGGGCAAGCATAAGAGCCAGATCCTCCACTGGTGTAAACTGATGTAGCTTCACTGACTTCACAGGATCTCCCCTGATTTACACCAGCTGAAGATCTGGCCTTCAGACTTAGGAGCCTGATTCCACAACACTTCTGTTGAGTAGTACATACTCCTACTGAGGAGTACTCAATGGGACTACTTGCATGAGTAAGAGTTACAGAACCAGGCCGATACAGAAAAGATAGATTAGTTTTTAAAAAGCTTCAGCCTGATTACATACAATTTGCAGACTGATTTGTATTAACCAGGTCTGACCACATTTTACAAACATTTGCTGCAATTTGTGTTGATAGCCAAAGTTCTGTCTCAAAACTGGAGAGAACGTTTCCTCCTGGTTTCTCTACTGAGGATCATTTCAGTGTCCTCACTACCTAACCCCCAACCTTCTTGTTTACTATGCAAAGAAATCCCAAATATTTAATAGCCAGCCCAGAATCCGTGACTTACCAAGACAGGTTTGGGCAGATTGTCATTCTCACAGATGGCTGGCAGCGACAGACCAAAGAGTTTCCCTGGAACAGGAGACGTTGGAGACAGTGGTATATTGTCCAGCTGAGTGCCTGGACCACGCCAAAAGGCCCAGTTTATGATTGATCTTTTCCTTTTAAATGGCTTTTGGCTTAGTTCTGGGGAAAAAGTAAGGTGTTTATTAGAAGAAATGTATTTCAGTTCTGTTTCCATTATTTGTTTTGTAGTAGTTGCTACGGTTTCAGATGCAAAAAGTTTCATGAACACAACTAATTCCTTGGTCTGGCTCAGCCTATTCCATTAGTGTGCATCCCGGTACATGCACACGCAGAGAACATGCCTTATCATCCAAGCACTCAAAAAGGATCACACAGATCTGCACTGCATTACTAAGCTGCAGCCGGAACTCTTACCTCTAAATGTAGGATTAAGAAAATCAGCCCGCTGAGTTTACATGCATCTTGATTGTTCCCATCCACCTGCACAAAAACCACAGAGCCTCTTTTTTTAAAGAAGAGATTCTTCTTGTGCTGGCTGCTGTATCTTGGCATTCCAGTTCCCACTGGCAATGGGCTGGAGCAGCCTCTGCACAACTAACATCAGTGAGTAAGCTGATGGGGGAAGGAGTATTAAAAGCCAATAGAAAAACCCAGTTGCTTTTCCAACTCTTTTTCCCCAAAGTGAGCATATCTGTGTACTTGTTCCAAGCATCTGCTGACCAATGCTCAAGAACCAGTGCCTGCTCTGTAATCAATGTCTTCCAGCTGGCACTTCATCACGATGCCAACACACCAATGGGCTTGGTTATTCTTCATTCATTTTGATGGTTTTCACGAGGTATGGTAACAGTGAAAACTCCAAACTGCACTACTGATGGAAGCTCTTCTTTGCAGCAAAGAGAAGGAAAGCAAGGCAATCTTAAATAGAAAAAGGATTCCCTCATGTTTATCTATGTCATTCTATATAAATTCTGGCTTAACAGCAAAGGGTATTTTGGAGGGCTGTGTTGGCAATTTTAAAGTGGAAATATGAGCTAGAAAAACAGACACACACTTTCCCTTTTCTTTTGTCTCCAAAGTCATCTGATTCAGGTTTACAGGATCCTTAAACCTCTATGAACCTTTCCATATCTTGGCTCTTTCATCCCACAGAAGGGTTCTACATTGCTAGAATCCAGGTGTGGTACTTCTATAACCATGGATTTCAGTACAATATAGACTTCTATATCATGTACTTTATCACACATGGTTTTAGCATCACTAGTGACTTCTGTTATACATCATTCCATTGTAGGAGATTACGTTCCCATTGGGAATGGGGGAATTCATTTCATTACAATTTGACAGGAAAGTTAGAATAACTCAAAATTTGAACGTTTTAACATTACAAGCTGATGAAAAATACTTTCCATAAAAAAAATGAGGATATAAATTTAAAACGAACCAAAGCTTCATGAAAGAAAAGCCTGACAAAGTTTAAGATTGTGCTTTCATATGTCACGCTTTGGAAGAAAGGAACTAACCTCTAATGCCTAAAATCTCAATTTTTGTTACGGTTGAACAAGATATAGGCATATCTAAGGTTTACTACACTGGGAGTTCTGTTCTTACAATAGCGAGTATATACTTATGCTCTGTTCTTGCAATAAATATATTGAGCCCATTGAAAGGAACAATTAAGGAGAGTTTCTATTTTGGAGAGTAAGGAATAATATATTAAAACTTAAGGGAATTTATCTTAAAAATTAGGAACAATTATTAGCTTCTTGTTATTTCCTTCAATTCCAATAGGCCAAAGAATTTTAAAAAATTATGCAAATGAAAAAAGACCATTTCAAGGAAATGCAGCCACCATTTGGGAGAGAAACAGCATGTGTTTAACAGTGCACTCCAACAATTATTATTATTGTTAATTATCTAGATCAGCGAGTAGAAGAGAGGTAAAACTATAAGGGGAATTTAGGTAAGCAGAATTATTACCCAATCTGGAATTTAGACAGGTCACCCCCACTCTGGTGAAAAACTTATGAAATTTCAGAAATGTATCTAAGTAAATGAACAATGTTGCAACTAACAAAATTTCAGCCTTTCCTTTGGCTCAGCTACTCTGCTGCCACAATCTCAATGCAAACTTTTCTTTATCTCCAGCTCCACAAGGCAATAACTCACTGGTCAAACTAAGCAGGAGTCCTAAACCCAGTGTTATGAGGTCTACTTCGGATGGTGGTATATCCCTGTCAAAAACACTTTCTATAGAGCCACCACTAGAGAACAAAGCCCTGGAGAAACAGCTGTTCCACTTGGCCACTGGCTTGTTAGCATTTAAATCTCACCATCAAGCCAGGAGAAGATTTCTTCCTATCTGAAGAGGACCAATTCAACGTTCTTGAAAACATTGGGACAGAAACCAACAAGTTTCCTAAAACAATGAAACACCAGCATTGTGTCAAAAATTGACAATGTCTGAGCATCAGGAAGAAACATCCCGTGGCCACAAAGAGATTTTAAGGACAGTAAAGCTACCGCAATATCAGTTCATTTACAGCTCAAAGGGAAATGGGAGATATCAAGGAAAAGAGTTGGGGGACGGAGGGACATGTAAGGTCTTTCTTTGCTTAAACATGTGTTAAGTTAAGATACAGAGAGAAGCACCGACATGGCTGAAAGACAGGCAGCGTATTCATTGTGCTGAAGGCAGTACTTTCATACTTTGGAACACAAACTTTGTACTCCTAGGGTCTCCTCCTCTAGGCAGTGGTGCAGTCCGGATATTTTAAGTTCAGGTACTCAGTCCCTGCCAGCATGGCCAGGCACGCACTGTGCGAGAGGTCACACTGCACGGAGGACACTGTTTTGCTCTTTATAATGGCATCCTCCATGGAGCTGCATGGGAGGTCACATTGTATGTGGGGGATGCCATTTTGAGAACAATCTGGTGCCACTGGGTTCTTCTGGACCAAAATGGGGAACACATTATAGCACCTTTGTTGCAAATAAGTTCGGTGTTAGTAAATCTGGCGATACTGACATGTTCAGGACATGTTGTCCACATTTTAAGTTAGGCGCAGGGAGTCCTATTCACATACAGTGTTCTAATCAACATGCTGCTACACAATGTGACTGGATTTCCCCCATTTCATGAACTACTAAGAAACAGTCTGAATACTGAAAAAACCTCTGGAACTTATTGAGCCATCTGGGGTCTTTTTGGACCAAATCTTTAACTACTGAAGGCTTCTACAGTTTATGAGACTATTTTTGTGATGCGACCAATCTACTGTACTCTGGTCTCCTTTTTACCAGATGATTACAGAACAATTTGGATGCCAGACAAACAGTTCACACTGTTCAAATATTTGAAGTTAAATGTTAAGCAAATATATGTTTATGATATTCATTTGATAGACAAGAGCTTACAAGCATTTTTAATCGTTGTTGCAATCAACTTAGCTAGCGATGTGACGTGCTATAAGGCCCCTAAAGAAGGAACACACACATGTAGGTCCTTTCCACGCTGTACCTAGACTATGCTTTCGTAACCAGGTCGTGGCACAGCCACCTGACTCAGTTACAACACACAGAGTTGAATTCTGTCCACACAGTAACTTTTTTTCACATTACAATCATTTGTTAACTGTGTTCACGTGTCACCACCTACCAGGCTGCCTCTGTGTGTACCTGGGCATTATGGGAAAATCCAGGCAATGATTTCCATACTGCCTCAGTAGGGGAATTGTGGCACCAGTACCACATGGCTAATGGACTCAAATATGTCCTAATGCATAGTGATGGAGGAGGATGCGGAGAGACCAACTTGTACAGAATGGCGCTATTAGGGGATATAATCTATGCAATGTGAAAGTATTTCACCTCTGCCAGTGACCTAGAGTGATACATGATTGAAACACTTATGCTTCTGTGCTTGCTAATTGTATGTTAACCATGTTGTGTGTGGACAACCACCATGTTTAGAGCCAACTGTATCCCTAACTGGCTACAAATTCAGTTGTAAGTTTTAGGGGACATTGTATAAACTCAGTTTCCAAGTCAACTATTTTATCCTATTTCATGGAAAAGAGAATAAATTGAGATGAATCCTACAATACTGAGGTGCAGCATTATGAACCAGACCACCTGTTACCTTACACACAGCACAGACAAATCTCGCCCTTTGTTGTGAACTCTTCTGGTATGTAGATAGAATTGTGCCTAGCGGTTACATAACAACCACCACCACCACATAGCCTTTGGCCCCTCTGATTTCAAGATCAGCCTAAGGTCAGCTACTAGCCTCTGTGCTGCTCTCCTTATCCATTTCCTAAACTAATCTGTGAGTGGAGCCAAGAAGAGAAAAGGAGAGTGGATCCTGCAGCATACAAGTTAATCAGGTTTGCAAACAGATAAAGCAATTTAAAATGATGTATTGCTCAACCATCTGAGGAGGAGAGTGGAAAAATAAATAAATAGCCTCTCTTACTGCCACTTTGCACAATGCTTGTGCATCATCCATGGGCTGCCCCAAGCCTCAGATCCAGAGGCAGTCTTGCTTTCTCCAATAGTTTACACAGCGCTATTTATAATGGGTCTGCATCAGAACTTGAGAGAGTTGATTTGCATTTCTATTTTCTCTTGCCAGTCAATGTCAGCTGCCAAGCTGGGCCTATAAACCTAATCACAACCGGTTTACTAATTGCCTCATTCCTAAAATACACCATGAAGTATTAGATGCTGCATAACATTGAGGGGGAGAAAGGAAATTATTTTACGATATATAAAATGCAGTTAAATTTCCTGTGTAATGTGCAATACATACACATAAACTCTCGTATATTTAATTTCTGGATACATTAAAAATGGTGTTCTAGGCATACACTCTGAGAAATGATATCCAGGAAATAAAAAACTGGTGAGGCACGTGCAAAAATTCTACATATATATGATTTTATATGATTATTAATACTACAGTAGCACAAAGAAGTGACAACTGAGATCAGGGTCCCAGGATGCTAACTGCAGTAAAAAAAACATATTAAGGGAGTCCCTGCCCCAATGAGTCTACAGGCTAAGGCCCCAGCCCTGCAAAATCTTACTCATGTGCTTAATTTTAGGCACTCTGAGTAGTCTGTCTCACTGAGGTCACTCAGTGTGTGCAAGAGTAT